ACAAAACCTACACAGCTGTAAAGAAACGAGAAAAAAAAAAAAAAGACTGCTTTACAGTCACACTGTCAGGGCTTATTCGTCATGAGGCACCTGAACAGAAAAAGAGCTTTGTTAATGTTCAGGTAACACCTGCTCCTTTCCGCTAACTAAACGACGAAGTACAGGATCAACCACTACTGATGTTTACTTGACTCGACGTGTTTGCTCTGAGAACATCGAGATGCATGTTGAATACGCAGTCGTGTGTGCCCTTTTAGTCCTGCCAGACAAGTTTTCAAAAACACAAATCTGATGGAATATTAAGACCATCACAGGACGTTAGTAAAGACAGATGTAGAAGCTGACTGAGACTGGGGGGTTTGGGGGCACTTCTGATTTTTAGAGGGCAAAAAAAAAGAAAAAAAAAGAGATATTCCCATTTCAGTAGATACAAATAACACATGGCTATACTGACAAAGATAAATGAAAAGCTGCCATTTGATGTTTATTTTGATGTTTATTCATTGCTATCACGTAAGGGACCTGAGACCTGTATATCCATCTGTATAGTCAGGTGTACATCCTGGGCTTTCTGGCTTTCTTTTCAAAATGATGGGCAAAACTTTGATTCAGTGTCCTCTATGGTTGGCAATAGGAGTTACTAATTCCCGAGTACTTCACTTTTGCTCAGAATTGTAGGAGATTCAGACTTATCGCAGTGTGAGGGATGAGATATTAGAGCAAGATGAAAGGTCAGAGAAGGACACACCAGCTTTCGAGGAGCCTGAACTCGAGCGCAATGATGGCACCAACCATCCGTTACAGTTTTAGGGCTCTGAACAATTTCAGAGAACATAATCAGCTAAAAGTTTGATTTCTTAAACTATTTAATATGTGCCGATTAATGATATATTTGCTAGAAGTGCATTAAAATGTATTGTTCCTTTCTCTGTCATTTACATTCCAACCCCATTGAAATGAGGTTAAACCTTTTTTCTTTTTTAAAACAAGAACATGAAAACAGGACAACACAGCCCACAACCACCAAGCCTGGAGGCCCTCTGATTACCTCAAACAGTAAAACAGCAAACAGGTTTTTGGAGGGACGAAAAAGTTAGAGAACACAAACCAGAGGGAAAGGTTAATCTCTGAAAGTAAATGGAAAAAAAGCCAGTATCACGCAACCAGTATAATCATCTGAGCCTCAGAAAATGATAAAGAACTCTGTGCCAACACCCAAAAGCAACACTATTTAAAACAACTTCATTCCTAATAAAATCTACATTTTGAATATTCTCAAACAAAATACTCCACAGCAAATGTTGAACAGGAAGAGGAACTGATCAGCATACTCTCTTGTGGTGCCAGTCATCTTATAGATCACACCCATGCCTTGCGTGCCTGATCATACTTTGAGTCATGTGTCTGAACTTGCTGATGAGCCAGCTGACAGTAAAATGTGCTGGCAGCTCCCAAAACCTACTGTCATCAAATGCAAGGATACTTAACACGTAAACTGCAACAGATCCAACCAGAACATCTAATAAACCTGCAGTGAATGGAGGAAATAGGAATCCACAGCATTAAGGTTAAACCTTCCACACCTATAAACTCTCAAAAGGTGTAGAAGTGAGATGAATCACCTGGTTTCTGTCCTACATAGAGAATAGAGGAGAAGAGAAGCCACACTTTAGCACTGCCTCCACAGTGTGGGCCATTACTGCATAGAGTTCAAGCCTCAAAGCAGTGATGCGACACGTTACCAAGGGAGAGCTTAGCATTGCAAATAAGCCCTAACAAACACTTGTCAACAGGCAGATGAAACATGAGCCTTTAGCCTCAACACACACTCATACAACAAGGTGGCATCACCTGACATTTAATACTCAAAGAAGTCCCCTCCGCCAGCTTTCTACCATGCACACCCCTGTGTCAAAGGCGTCTAGTAAAAATGGGGGGGTGGATGTATTGTCAATAGAAACACTAGTATGGGAATGACATGGGCATATTTGACACCTAATTAAAGTTTTAACAAAGAAAATTTGAGACAATGGATCCATTACCCAAAGTTAACCTTTACCATTAGTCTGGATTCACTTCCCTATGTAAATAGTTAACTCGGTGCACCACCCATACCTGTTTTTATTTACCAAGCATGAAGAAAACAAAGCAAATACATTTTCTAATGTGTAAATACTGCAACTGGTTTCAACAGTTGTGCAAACATTGTCCTCTATATCAGCTTTGGTCTCTGTATCACTAGTTTATTACTTCACGTAAGGGCCCTAATTTGGCTGAACAACAAAGTGCAACAAGAGCAAAACTGAGCTAATAAATAACCTGTAACCCACATAGTGGTTGCTTTTTTGTCCAGATCCATTAAATATCTTGCACTGAACTGGTTGTAATATAAATTGCTAAAGCCCTGAACTCCAGCAGCACAATTCCCGCACACACATCCCAACACTTTAACACGTTTTAAGACCTTCATGTCAAATGTACAGCCATACTGGAGTGGTTTATGCATTCTCTTAGGAAGGGAAAGGTCACTGGTTTGATTCCAGTCGAAGACACAAATCCCTTCGGGGTTGCGTCAAGTGTAAAAACTCTGCCAAATCAAACATGCGGAGCTCCCTGCTAAAGTCACCCTTTGTGACAAGGGAGCTCTAGGTCAATTTTTATGTCTAAAGTGCATAATGGAGTTCAGTAGATCCAAGTTAAATTATGAACTGTATGCATGCAGCAGAACCCTGATGAGCTCTTTTGCATGCATAGTTCCAAAATTAAAGCCTTAATTTCTTCACCCAACTCATCTATATTATGCAGTGCTGGTCAAATCATCGCACATTTCACCTAAAGAGAAATGGATCATCAGTTTGTCTAATGTTACACACGTTAAATGTCACAGACCTGCTGTATATACCAAGTGTAGCTCTACAGCTTCTCACATATGTGACATTTTATCACCTCTTTCACTTTGCGCCTGAAACTGAATCAGGAAGATTAATTTTAGATGTTACTTACAGCTGTTTCGTTTAGAGTTTAAATTTCAGAAACTAACAGACCGCCCAAATGCTCACCTGTACTCCTGTCAAAGTTCTTGTTGTTGATGATGATACACTGGCCAATTCTGGGGAAATCGAGGCGGTATCTGAAGCTGTGTGACTGGGGCTTGGCATCCACGTCCATGGGGACAGAAGCAGACGAAGAGCCCGCTGATCTGACGGACAAGCCAACATTTAGTTTAGAAGTTTAATGTGTGATTAGAAACTCAGCAAATAATGCACGTCAGAGAAATGCTGCTGTAAATAAAGAAAGAAGCATGCAAAGATTGGACTACAGTTGCAGCTCCGTTATATCAAACGATCAAATAGCACAATGTTAAAGTACAGCAGAGCGTTAATACAGCAGTAAAAAAGGAGAAGAAGAAGACAAAACGAGCGGCTGTGATCTTTGAGGTCAAGGACGACAAACGGTTTCACTCTTACCATGAACCTTCAACAGGATATGAACACAATAGATCGCAACACATAAAGATTGCTAACTAGCTTAATCCAGTGACTCACTGTTTTCCGTTGCCTGGCTTTGCGTCTGTATCGTCCACTCCAGGTCCCGATCCGTTTTCCGACATTTTTCACAGGCAAGTAATTAAACGCTAACCAAACAAATTCACGCTCTCTATGTGACAAAGAGAAGGCCTCAAAAATGCCCAGTCGTGCTCTGGCAGCGGATGTTCTCCCTTTACTGCTGCTGTGTGGTCCTGAGGGACTCTCTGCTGACTGGTAAACAAAAGATGCTGATGTCACTCAGAGATGCGCTCGTTTTACGTTCAGGGGCGTGCCGAGACGAGAACAGCTACAAACGTCCACGAAACGACTTCTCCAGACGCAAACAACATACGTTTGATCACTGAATTTAACTAACAATCGACCCAAGGCGTTTCACAATAACAGAAATATAATTTAATTCGGGTTCTTACATTTTATTTTTATTTTACCTCGTGTAATACAATCACTGGCTACTTTGGTGAGTACACCCATTCAACCACAATTTTACATAAATATCAGCCAATCACATGGTAGATGCATTCGAGCGTAGACACCAGAGATGTCAATCTCATTTTATATCGTGGGCCACATCCAGCCCACTATGATCTAAACTCAATCAGCCCGTCAGTGTAAAAACGTTTAGTTACACATTTACGGTGCAAATTAGTTTTTCTATGCCAAAGTTTTTCATCTTTAGTAACTGAAAAGAAATAAATCTATCAGCACAGTTCTCGGGGTTTACATTGTAAATGTGTAAAGTTACAGAAACATTTTGGTAGCTTGCTGTCCTGTATTTATGAAATAAATCTTTTTATGTTAATTCATATAAAATGTTATTTTTTCTTGTGGACCCATTTTAAATGAAAATATTGCAAATACATTTCAGAAACTGCTGACTTACTGGGATTTTTCCAAGCAGTCATCTTTAGGGCTTACAGAGAGCCCAATCCAATAAAGAACCTTTGGAATGTGGTGGAACAGGAGATTTGAATCACTGGATGCGCAGCCAACTCATCTGCAGCAACTGTGTGATGTTATCATGTCAATATGGTCCACAATGTCACCTCTAAAGGAATATTTCCAGCACCTTGCTGAATCTATGCCACAAGTAATTAATGCACCTCTAAAGGCAAAAGGGGGTCCAACCCTGTATCAGTAAGGTGTCCCTAATATAGTGTCCAGTGTGTGAACATTTGAAAGTATAGTTTCATCTTTAAAATGAATTAAACCTTTGCACATCCAGGAGTACTTGTTGATAAAAGACCCAAGTTCCACCTTTAACTACGTGGAGCTTATTTACACAGACACTACATTATTAAATGTTGGTATGTTGTTTTCAAGGGGTACAGCAATTCAAACAGGTTGAAATAAAAAGTAGTCATCTGCTTTGAAATTACACATATACATTATACTAGTAAAACCGCTTTGTTGAGAGTTAATAAAATTAATACCAAAGATAAGCAGTTCATCTCAATTCAGACTTTAATCCAGCCACAATCTCTAAAACAATCCTTTTAAAAACTCCATCAAAAGGACAGAAAAAGGTGAAAAGTTTCCTTAGAATTGTAATTCATTTCATATTTTATTGAACATGGTTTAGGAAAAGTTTCCAGAACAAGCTCACACAAATATCTCAATAGCCAACATCAAAATCTGACCAACTGAGCTTTGGACAGTTGTAGACGAGGACAGTCAGAAAAAAAGGGAGGAAAAAAAAAACCACACTAGCTGGAACAAAGTGATGAAACTGGTGGAAACCGACAGAAAAAAAAACTAGAAACATAAAGATGAAATGACAGAACCACACAATTCAAACGAACACAGAAACAGAAATGTTACATGTAATAAAAACAACAGAGGACACAAATCTGTACACCTATTCTATAAAGAAGTGTTTTTAAATAGCTCGCAGAGCCTCGGTGAAGATGACGGTGGCAGAACACAAATAAAGACGAATATTTCAAACTGAAAGCTAACTTGGTTGCTAAAGAGCTACATGTTGTAACACGGTGCCCTCGATTCAGAAAATGAAACTATGTTCATATGGAGTAAACAATGATAATGAAACACAAAAAACCCCAAAACAAAACTTTGAAAAGTGCATCACTCTTTTTATATTCTTCATCAACACAACTACTTATGATCACAGTTATTTCACTATTTGGTGTATTCACACATAAATCATTTTCTAGCGCTGTTTTTGTCATCTTCGTTGGTAGAGCTTATTTTAAGTACACTTTAATGTGACATTGATTAAAACTTTCTACCACCTGTACAGTCCACCACCTCGAGACAAACAACAGCAAAGACCGAGACAAAAGTCGGTTTGTGCAGCTTTAGTGTTCTTGCTCAACGCTACCCCCGCATTTCAATTTGTGCCTCTTGTAGGAGCAGAGGCACTGTTATTGCTATTTAAAAAAAACAAAAAAGAAAATCTAAACTCACAGCACACAAATATTTGTAATCAAGATTAAAGCTATGCTCGCTAAGTCTGAAGTTAACCACAAAGGCCAAACCACTCGCTTCAAATGCCCTCAGTTTGCAAATCCTCGAGTTAGCAGTAAACTCCACGCAGCTCCGTGACATCTCAGCGCGCAGATCTGCTGATTTAAATTTAGTCACAAACTCACGTGGACAGCACAGTTATAATAAATACTTCTGGATCTTTGCGGTGTATTAGAATGGGGGAAAATAAGACAGTTCAAACCATCTTTTAAAAGTCTTAGTATATATCTATATTATACCTCCATAGTTGTTGTTTCAGGGGTTGAAGCAGCACCACAAATCACTATAAATTCAAAGGCAAATTCTGCATTAGAGGCCGACTGATATATCGGCTATTTGCCGATTTGTCAGTATTGACATTTAGAATGACCTATAAATGAGAATGAAATGCAGATTGTTGATTGTTGATGTTACGCTTTGTCCACTTCCCTGTTGGCTACACTGTGTTTGAAACACAACAGAAACACAACCAGATGCTCTGAGCATAGTCAGGCAGAGCGTAAACGAGTAGATAAATAAATACATGTAACAAATGTTAAGGAAATGTGTTTATGTGCCCAAAAAGAAAATTAAAAGGTCACTGTGTCAAATTTAGGCCAGTATATCAGTCTTAGAAATCCTATATCAGTCTGGCTCTGTATCGAACGTATGTTCATTTATCTCCAAAATGCCAAAAGCTAAACTTGTGGCCTGAAAATGGTAACGTGGATATTACTGTGGGAATTATAAAAGGATGCGATTTAACTTTGACTTGCTGTGGTTTTGTGCTGAGGAGGCTTTGGAGTATTTGGAAAACAAACAGGAATGTGGCAGAAAAACATACATTAATCATGTTAGGTAGTACCTCAACCTATCAGAGCAAGCCTTTCATATCGAAAGGTACCATCTGGGTCAATAACCCTTCCAACAATAGCACATCCAAAGAAACTGCAGAATGACATTTTCAGAAAGAGCTGCTGCAAACTGCAACCTGAAGGCTGGATCAGAAAACCCTGGACTGGGAAGAGGCTGTGGACCAAAACCAAGCTAAACTTCAGGGTTTGAGAGGCAGTGAGAGGAACACCAACCAGCTGCAGGGTGACTACAATGCCACACAGGCAATCGTGTGTACTTGAACGCGAAGTCCAGCCGACCTTGATCCTGCTGAACGGAGGGGCTGAAGGAGGTTGGTCAGATGACGGGCTAGGCTGATGTCAAACTGGATTTCCTAATTAATGTGATAGGAAAAAGGGGTCCCTCTAACGATCGTGTATTTGTACACCTCAGTGGGGAAATTGTTCAGCTGTGCTCAGAAGACGTCAGGGCACATATCCCAGTTCCCTTGCTCCTTAGCTTCCCAGTAACCCCCCTTGTAGATGTGCAACGTTTCTCCGGACACAGGATCATCCATCTTCTCAAACCACAGTGCTTGGTAGGTGTCTGGATGGCCACCTATTGAAAAAGAAAAGAACGTTTCAATTTAGAAGCTACAGTAAAGGTTAACCCGCCCCCACTCAGCCAGGATTACATATCATGCTTAAATTAAGCCGATATGCATTCAGAGTTCTGCCCATGAGAAACAAATAAATGTTAGCATTACCTTGATCTTCAGATGCATCCTATACAAACAAAATGCAGGGGGCTCTTTCTGTATAACCACTTGGAGAGGACCAGGCTCACAAATAACACACTAGCTGCTTCAGAGTCAGAGGATGCTGGTCAATCACAGACAAACTGCCACTCTACAATGTTGTGAGGCCTCTACAGCTGTATACAGCTACTCTAAGAGGATCTAAGAGATGGGACAAGTCGAAATGAATGTTACTTGCTTTTGGCTGGAGCTCCATAAGGGCCTTCCCTGCCTTCCACTAAGAGAGCAAATTGTAAAGAAGAAAATGGTGGAAGTTGGATGTTTTTCTGGTCATTAGGATTCAACTACATTACTAGAAAATGTGATATACTGGTGCTATGCATTAAATCATGATCAGAATACTTGCTTATATAAGGGAAGAGTGACGGTCCATAAGGGGCTATTAAAAGAAAAAGAAAAACAAAAAAGGATGATTCTTCTTTGGAAGTTGAGACATAACAGAACTGCTGTGATTTGAAAATGACAGTGAGTGAAAACGAAATGGACTACTTGCATGCAACAGGTGTATGAGGGGGGGAATCCTCAGTGTCAGCTGAGCAAAACCCAGCACAAACATAAAGACACATCCAAAATCCACATAAAAAAAGATTTCTTCAAATTTTAAAAGTGCCATGTGTCGCATCTAAGGCATTATTTTCTGCTCAAAAATTTAACAAAAGCCCAACAGACTAATCGTAACAAAGAAATAAGTTGATTTGTGTAATAAACTGATTGTGCTTTAAGAACTGATAGGGCATTTAGATTTGACCTGATTAGGTGCTTCTATAGAGGGTTAGATTATAGATCTTCTCTTTGCTGGTCTAAAATGTGAACATGAGTTAACAATGAGTGAAAATCTCTTTACACTTATAGTTTTGGTCATTATAACCAGGAAGTGAAAATCACTGGAACATCCAAAATGACACATATGAGCTGTGAAGTCACTGATAGCAGCAAACGCACCCAGCAACCACCCCGTGGACATAAACGGTACTTGCTCAGTAAAAAAGCCACACAAAGCACCTTTAAAAGTACACTTTGTATAAAACTGTAAAATGATACTTGCTTTCATCAGAAATCTCACTTGAAGCAGGAGCAGGCTCTTTTGCATCAGCTAAATGAAACAGAAAGGAACGGGGGAGGGGGGGGGGGACATATTAATATAAATAAGCTGTTATTAAGAGAGGAGGATGCTGAGCACCTTAATACTGAACGCACAAACATTTCGTGTGTGCACTTTTGATTGTGCGGTCTGAAGTTCACACCAAAGGTGAGAAGAGACTAAGCTGAGTACTTGCTTTTCAAAGGCGAGTCATTGATCGAAGCCTCAGTGACAGCTTAGCATTAAGAGAGGAGGGGGGGTAAAAAAAAGGAAAGACAAGAAACACCAAGACAGACAAAAATGGATAAAAGATGAATGGACACAACATCAGACAGAAATATAAGACAAATACAAAAAAAAAAAAAAAAAAAAAAATCAAACCCATGCTAAACACAAACTCGCTCTCCATCGTCCTACCTTCCTCAGGTGAGCTGGCTGCTTTCACAGCTTCTCTCTCTCTTTCTCGACGGGTGCTGCGTTGTTTTTCTTCTAGACGCTGTTTCTCTGCGTTGGCCTCGTCCCAGTGGCCTTCCTCCATTAACCGCTGGTCAGGTCGCCGCCGACTGTCTGTTGGCGCAACTCCCTCTTCGGGTTCATTGAGAGTCAGAGCCAAAGAGGAGAAGTAGTACATGTTCTCTGCTCCCTCCCTGCAAATTCAACAATATAAAAACATTAAAAGTAAAGAGCAGCAGTATTTACAACAACTCCGCTCCAAATGTTTGAGAACACGTTCACACTTCTGAACGTCGCCAGGCTTTAAGACTAAAACACTTACGGTAACGGGTTCTTTCTCCAGATTTCTTTGGCTTTCAGTGTCTGATAGACAGTCCTCTGTTTGCCTTCAGTGCCATTTTCACCTTTACTGCTCTGCATAATTTTGGAAAACTCCATTTTCTCATCCCACGTTCCTGACAGGACATAATGCGCTTTTCCATCCTTATCTGTTACTACTCCTGTTACCTAGAAGGAGACATTAATTAATTAAGATATGTTAATTGCAGGCTGTAGAGGAGAGAAAATAACAAAACCATTGCCATTAAAGGCTTCCTATAAGTTTCCTGGGAAAATGACGGCTCATATGCAGAAGGAAAGAGGATGAGGATGACTCAACAGAATCAACTTATGTACTAGTGGATGTAATATCATCATCTTGAAAGGAAAATACTGCCTGAGGAAACCTCACTCAAATTATCTTATTTAAACAAACACAAAAAAAGAAAAAGGAAAAAAAAGGAGCCAACCTTTCTCGGTACATCTCTGGAGAAATAACTGTAGGGAGCGAACTTGAGGTGGCAGCGATCTCCTGTCTTGTGGTTCACCACGTCTATCTCTCCCGACTGGCACAGGACAAAAGAAAGAAAGAAAATGTTCTGAGTGTTTGTTCTCTAGCAGATTAAAATCAAAACATCATATGAAAACATCTAAAACATTAGATGTTTTCATATGATGCCAAATGCCAAAAGCTAAAACATTTTGGCATTACCTGATCGATCCACAATTTCCCAACAATAATGTTGTGAACTGTTGTGGTCACTTTTTTCCAAGAATAGTGATTGTTGCTCTTTTCAAATATACACTGAATAGAACCTGGAGAGAGAAAAGGGAATAATGTTGCAAGTGATGGAAACGTATCCCATATATCCCATGAACTAAAGTGAAAAAATGAAATTCTACACTGAAATAGTGAATTACAGTAGTGTAAGACAGACGGTGTTCACTGGATAAAAACATCAGGCTTAGCAGGTGTATTGTTCTCGCATGCTGTGTCTTTGTTTGCAGCTATACAAACACACACACGCACTCACCCAAAGGCATGATAGAGAGATATTTCCCTCTAAACTTGCTGGCTAGTGTTATCTCCTGTCTGAGGGTCCAGCCCTTTTCAGAGAAGGCGTAGTGGGCTGCGGCAGGTGGGTGGTGACTGACCTAAGAAGAGGTAACAAAGAGAGAGAAGAGTCAGGAAGCTTAACATATGGTCACTGTAGCTATATAATGGCTTTGAGTGCATTAAGAAAACAAACATGACTAGGACAAAATACTACATGAGTAAATAAAGCATGTTTGCAATGGAAACAGGTAAAACCTGAATCAAAACGATTATAATTTGTGAAAAAACAATGCAATGTAGACCATTTCTGTGTTTTACAATGTGTGTGTTTTTTGTTTTTTTAACTACCTGTTCACAAAGAGAGCGATAACCGCACTCTCTGTGCCGATCGAGCTCAAAGGTTTCTCCGAGCAGAGGGTTGAAGGGCTTTCCTGTACGGTGGACTGTGGTGGAGTAGGAAGACACTGTGAAGGCTGCCACATAACACATCTGCTCTAGAGAGCTATGACTCTTTGCAGCCTTATCAAGGAGTTCGTAGTACTCCAGGTCTTCAGACAGACGTTGCAACATTGACAGGGGCTCATTAAAATTCACCTAAAAATTCACAGAGACACATCTCATCACTTCTGATTATTTTTAAATGGAAAAGTCACATTGACGCTGTTGTGTGCACAGATTTCTTACAGGCATCGGTATTTTTGAGAGCTCCTTTCCAATACAATTCTTCATGATGCTCCACAGATTGAGGTAATAGTTTGGTTTGTCCGGGATACGAGTTCGCCTTTGCCTAACTGGCTCCAGCTCCAGCGGCTGTGGAGACTCTGGGTTTGATGCCAAAGAAAGTTCATCAAACTGATGGAAGATAAAGAAAATATCATCAGGAGTTAGGTGGCTTTGATATGGTAATGCAGTTAATACAAAAATAATTAGATATAAAAATTTAACGCACATTTACCGACTGATCATCCGTCCCAGTCTCACTGCTGATCCCACTGATGTTGCTGCCAGATCTCCTGTAGAAGAGGATAAGAGTCAAGTATAAAACAAAACACATGTGGAGGAAAAGAAATGTCTGACAATAGAAAATATCAGTTTGTACCTGTGATATTTGGGGTCAGCGGGGACAGTAATAAACTCTGCTGGCTCCTCCATAGCATCAAAGAACTCATTGTCATCATCCTCGTCACTGGCATCGGCTTTCCCTGAAACACCCCCTGAAATGAAGAAAGAGTTGGAAGACTGAATAACTTAACGGTTCGACAGACCTCAGCAGATCAGTAACGAAGGTGGCAGAGTAAGAATTTCCGATGATGAAAAGACTCTCACCTTTGTTTCCTAAGGCAGGATTACTGAATGAAGGGGGGAGAACTGTTGCTCCTCTGAAAGCTCTTTCTAGGTGGTTGTGCTGTTTGGCTAGCTGCTCCAGAGTCTCCTCCAGACGTATCCTCTGTTCTCTTTCAGTCTGTAAGGCCTTCTGCCAGCGCTTACTGTGGCTCTGAGCCATGGAAAGGAAGTCTCTACATGCCTAGAGGATCACGCAAAAAAATAGACATCATCAGTAACACACTCAGGGGGAGAGCTGTTTGCTCAACTTTTATTAACGCTTGATTGACTTACGTTGATCATGGCATTGGATGTGATTCGGAACAGCGTGGCTCTCTCTGTGACTTGTTTGACCTTTTCTCCCATGTCCACTGCGACACGAAGTCCTTCAAGTTCTGATAAAGACCTAAAATTGTGAAATAAAGATTTTAATGGGTAAGCGTAATTAAAAAAAAAAAAAAAAGATTAGTTAATGGATAATGGTCTGTTAGTAAGTACTACCTTTGGAGAGCAGACCCATGCTTGACAATGAGATCATTGCAGGTGGCAAGATCCTCCACTTTGCTGTTAAGTGTGCGTAATGTAGACTGGATTTCTGTGTTACGGCAGTCTCCACCCTGTCCTGAGTTTGGCGAGACTGCAGGGAAATCGTCACCTGAGTCATCTAAGGAAGAAAACAGAGAGTGTCATAAGTCAACACAAACACAATTCAGTGAAAGAGTTTGCTTCTGGGTGCTTTGTAAGCTTTCTCTATGGAGTCCCCTGCATTGCCCTCTGGTAAGAGTCCCTCTTACCAGATTCTGCCTGCATTTGGACAGCCTTCGCCTTTGCAAGTTCCAAAGCAGTGATCCATCGCTGGCGCTCTACTTCGGAGCTGGCCTTCAGGTGATAGGTCTGTGCCCCTCCATTAGAAATCACAAAATTGCACGAATCTTCCACAGCAATGTTGGCTGTGGCCAAGTTAATGGTGCCTCTGCATGTGTGACCCATCTCAGCCTGAGTCCTGAAGACAGAGACGACAACAGCAGTCAAATCTGCAGTTTGCAAATCACTTACATTTATAGATGTGTACTGCTCAGATGGCTTTGTGGTGTTATTGTGGTTCTGTTGCTGTCCTGTAAAAAGGCCTTTATTACAAGGCATACTTATAATAAAATTTTAATGCATCGATCCTCTTTAAGCTACACTTTTGCAATTTCTTTTTGAGCTTGGAATAGAGTAAATTCATTGCAAATTATTATAGCTTCAGTATTCTTCATATAACTTACCTGTAGTAAGAGAGCAAGCCATTGCTGAGAACAAACCAGCGTCTTTGGTAACCTTTTATGTAGTTTGTCCATTTGAAGAGCCAACCCTTGTATGTGTCTCCAGGGGTCGGAGTAGGGGACTTTGGCTCTGACATCACAACAGCCTGTGCTTTCACTGAGTGATGTTACAGGCTGTGGAGAGAAAAACATTTACAGGTGCATTACTGTAAAGTTTGTGTCATGCACATCACATTTGATACATGATGTGCATGATACAAGCTCACTATAAAGACATCACACTTACAGTAAATCAAGATTGTAACTACATCCTAAAGTTTATACCATCTTATAACCATATAATTCATCAATCTTTGGCTATATAAGACACAATGCGTTACGGGTAACGGAAGCAGATTCAACCTGCGCCACTAAGATCGGCTGCAATCACTTATGTTTATGTTTACCGAGTCATCAAAATTAAACCTACATAGCCACGCTTGTCAAATGTAAAAAAAAATATGACTCAACACTGGCACTACCTCTGGCTCCGTGAAATTTTTAGGCTTGTCGTGGCACCTTCCAGTGAAAACAAAACAAGCTGAGGGACGCTGACACGACTCCAATAACCTGCTTCGCTACAGTTTTATCGCGTTTGAAGGAAACTAATAAACATCCAGAAAACACAGCTCAGCGCCGATAACAGTGAGCTCAACCGTTCCCTTGGTCTGGTAGGATTACATGGAAGTGTCAAATTAACAGCATGGATACCGATAGTCAACTTACCCCGAATACCACATCAAAGCTACTTAAAACTGTGCCCGCTGTCACTAAGCTTGCGGTTAGCTAAACAACGGGAAGCTTTGGAAAAGCTGACACGCCGCAGACGTTGACAATTATCGTTTTAAACCGTGCAGCCCTCTCACTATGCATCCATCCGATGCATAACTTAATGTAATATAGCTGCAAGACTCACCGATGGGCGGGCATATCGAGCTTGATGATGCGACGTTAGCTCGCTAGTTTTTGCTTCGCTAACCACTTTGCTACAGGTTGTGCAACAAAATAGGGTTCGACCAGCATCTAAACCGTGCGCTTTAGTTCCGCCAGTCAATCTAAACGCCTCTCGGCAGTTGATGTAAATGGTTGTACGCCCTGTGAAGATCCAGATATTGTTTTCTTATTTTCAATGTAATACAATCCATCAAGCCTTTATTTGTCACATGCAATGTTACACATACATGTTACCTGCAGTGAAAATGAAAAAAAAAACAAACCCAAAAACGACTCAAAGTTATTTGGTAAGACTCTATAGTTGAAAATTAACCATCCCATAAATTATCTTCACTACTTAATAACTTAAAAAACAACAACAACAAAACGGTTTGCTGACGTTTTTGATCATGAGAAAAAACTTTATTTATCCCTTGTTTGAAAAATAATTTTATCACATAATGCAAAAAATAATTACTATTATACTATAATTGTCGTATTGTATGAATGTCTGTATCTATGTATACTATCTTTGCTATTGTAGAATTCTCCCATACGTTTCAGTTCAGGGGTCTTTGTCTCTCTAATAATGTCTGTGGTTCTCCACAGACAAAAAAGAAGCAGGCTATATCAGTGTAAAGAAAACATGCTTAATGTCCATACTCATTCTCATACTAATTCAAAGAAGGTATGTATATTTATAAATACCTTTACATCTGAATCAACTGGCTATGCCCCATTATTATTGTTCTGGTTTACAGTGTAAAGCGATATGAATGGTATTATGCATGTAAAATAAGTTCATTTATCTACTTTTCCTTTTTAAAAAATCCAAACTACATTGTTGTATGTATAGCATGACTTTCAGCCCAGTTTATATGAGAACTTACAGATTATGTATTAACGTATAACTAAGAGTTTAGTCCTCCAGGTTGGAGCCTTTTTTGCTTTCAGAACTACTTTAATTCTTTGTAGCATAGATTGAGCAAAGTGCTTAAAACATTCCTCAGAGTTTGGTCCATATTGACATGACAGCATCTTCATTGCTGCAGATTTGCCGGCTGCACATCCACTTTGTGAATCTCCTACTACACCACTATTCCAAAGATGTGATCTTGCATCTAGATCACAGTAGATCAGCATTTTCTGAAGTACTCATGCCAGCCCATCTTGTACCAACACCAGTGCCACTGAAATCACCCTTCATCGTTATTCTGGTGCTCATTTTCAAATTCAGGAAGTTATCTTAAGTATGTCTACACCATCTGATTGGTTTATTAGACATTTTTTATTAACAAGTATTTGAAAAGAAGTGGCCAGTGAGTTTATATTGTTATATTTTGGGTAAATAGTCAATGTGTGCACCCATAATGCATTCTTATGTTTGCATTAATTCCTGTCATGTAGTTTCCATTAAAAATATTGAAATTAAATGCACCTGCTATATTTGCCAGGGCACAATTACAGACCCTACTCAAACAGCTTTCATGAAACTAAAAGGCATTTTAAACACACAGTGCTCAATTCAATATATCCAGGCTTTTATATAGCACTAGTTCACAGGTACAGTAATCTTTTTTGTGGTAAAGTAAATAACCTACAATATTAGAGAAATAATTTTGTTGTTTTTATGACTTAATATAGCTGTGATCTGAATTAATCATGTAAATTCCAAACACAAGGAAAAACCAAACACTTCCTCTGAATTGTACTGATTTTATTGAACAATTCTTCAACACAACAATGCAGCTTCTATTAACTAGGACATTAAATCGTAGACATTAATTAAAAGATGTGTATGTGTGTGGTGTATGTGTGTGGTGTATTTTATCTATGTACTTGAATGTTTCTACGTTAATTATACACAATATAATACACTTATTTCATGCTTATTTAGTAATGGTGTTTGCATTCATACTCTTTCCACTCCCACTAAGCACAATATATGGCGTTTTCTGGGATTTTTGCTTCTCCTGCAGTAAAGCCACAGTTCCCAGAGGAGTATCGCTGCTGCTCATCTTCTTCAGCAACGCCTCTTCCTCCAGCTTTTTCATCCTCCTCTCGGTCTTCATTTTTCCAGACCCCTTTCCATGGAATCGATGGGAGAGCTGCCTAAAAGCTTCTTTTGGAGTGAGTTTCCGCCCAGACTCGTCCACGTACTCAATCTTGACGTCAGGCTTGTAGCCATCCTTCTCCTTGAAGTCTTGCGTGAAGCCTCTGTATTCTTCCCTGCGGCTGTACTTGTCATCAAAGCCCATCTTGTCCTCGATGCAGTAGTCGCCATTGGGCAGGGCACCCTTTGGCGCTTTGACACGTGCTACTTTCTGCATTTGAGTCTCCAACAGACCCTTATTTTTGCACAGCAACAGGGCAGCAGCGAGGCCGGAGTTGACGATGGGCTCCTCGTCCAAAATGGTGGCAGAGGCTGTGGCGAAATCTGGTTGTTTTTGTTCCTCATCCAGGTTAACTGTGCTCCATCCAACATTCTCATCCATGTCAGAGTCTGAACCTCCAGCATCATCTTTTTCCTCCTCCTGTTCAAAGTCCATAATGTCTTCCTGGTCCTCTCTGTTGCCTGACAGTCCGTATGTTGGGATATCACCCAGGGTTCTGCAAAACTCTGAGGTAGCATTGAAAACAATGTTGTTCTTCTTGTCAGGATCGTCTTCATTGTCATCTTTAACAAGCTTCTTAACCTGCTCTGCCACCTTCGCCCCAGAGTCTTTCAGGAGCTGCATTTGCTTCAGCTTCCTCTGCTTCTCCAACTGCTTCTGCAGCTCCTGCTCTGCCTCATCCTCCTCAATTACAGCTGGCTCAGGAGGGGTAAATTCCTCATCGTCGCTTATGTCCATTTCTGCCATCCTGATGTCGTCAGACAGTAGGGGGATTTCAAGCGTCACCACCTTCTCCTCTTTCTTTACTTCTTGGTCTTCATCATCCTCCTGTTTGCGGCCTCGGCCACGTGTCCTGGAGCCAAAGTCAGAGCTGCGGGTGTCATCGAGGTGAAGGTCATCTGCAGTGGATGTCTTCTCCTTCTTCCTGATCTTCTTCACTCTACGTTTTGTCTTTTTAAAGCCCACCATTTCCTGTGGTGTGTAGTACTCCGAGGCGATAGAGAGCGCAGGCATTTCCAAGGACTGGGCCTGATTTCGCAGCATTTCTTTCATGGCCTGGAGCTCGCGCTCTCGCTCTCCATCTGCAAAACCACCTGTATTCAACCGGAAGCTCTTTTTCTTCTCACCTTCAATTTCCTCATCATACTTTGACAGAACAGAGCGAGATTTAAACGAAACCATGTCGTCAACGCTCTCCTCTTCTTCGTAAGGTTTGTAATCTGGCTTTTTCTTTTTTAATTCCACATTCTTTTCTGCTTTTTCCTTGTCCACCAGTCCCACATTTACCAGCACATCTTCCTCCTCTTCCAAAACACCTTTGTCTTCTAGGGTCAGGATGACAGTCTGGCCCTCAGAGAAAGACTCTACTTTGTGCTGCACTTTGAGTCCCTTTAAATCTCGAGATGTGTACGCATCCTGTTTAATCTGAGCAAATTCCTCCTCTACCAGATTGCTGACACCAAACTCTTCATCCATCTCTTCCAGAAGTTTGGCTCTTTTTTCTGCCATTTCTTTTTCTTTTGCCAGCTTTCTGCTTCTCTCGACCCAGGAGGATGTGTCATCCAGCCAGTCATCCTCAGCTAGGGTTTTGACTTTCCCCAGTTTCTGGTTGAGTATGCGTTTTTCCTTCAAAGCTGCAAGCTTCTCTCTCATCTCTTTCTGCTGCTGGATGACCACGGGGTTGATGGTCTCTGCAACCATGGGTTCCTCTTTGGTCCCAAGCTCTTTCTTGTTCTCATTCAGTTCCAGAGGCTTCAGACCCAACTTTGCCCTGAGTTTGTTTGTTTCCTCGATGCTGAGAGATGCATCTCCGCTCGCAGATTGAGGCTGCACTTCAGTATTGCTTTCCTCATATCCCGCATCTACTTTCTCCTTCTTCACTCGTGGTTCCCCGCTGCTCCTTTCACCCTTCCCACGGCTCTCCCGTCTGCCTCTTTCCCTGGACCTGGAGCGCTTTCTTTTCTCCTTGTCTCGGTCCGAAGTGTCTCTGTCGCGCTCCTTGTGGCGATGTTTCTTATGTTCACGACGGCGCTCCTCTGTGTCCTTATCGCGGCTCTTTTCCTTATGTTTCTTAGACGAACCCATCGTTTATCTGAAAATTACAACAACAACAATTAAAAATGCAAGCAGTGAAAAATAAAACCGCTAGCTTTGACAATTTTAAGATTTGATTGATGACGGGAAAGCGGTTAGCTTTCCCTTGCTAACTAGCTTACATAAGCTATGAAAACTAAGTCATTAACCGAAGCCACAACTTACGTAGTTCGAAGGCAAAGATTGAAATTTGCGTTCAAAATCCAATCTCGGTAAGGGACTAGAATGGTCGGCTGTATGTTTTCTTCAGGCCAGTGTAAATAACCTCACACCACGTTCGTGTAAGTTTAAGAACAAAAAACAACGTACGACAGTGTTGCTGTTTCCTGAAAACGCACTTCCTGCGATCGTCAGCCAGAGGCTGACGCCGCCTGCCGTGCGGGAGTGTATATGTCACGCTAGGGACGCGTCCATTAGTTGGTGCGTCTCAGAAACGTTGCTAATAATTAAATGGATTTCACCGGACGAAGAGAGAATCTGTGAAGCTCTTTCTGGCGTATATGAAGAACAACGACGGGCAACAACATCTCTGTCCGTTTCTGGCTCTGAACGGTGACACCACCGTTTCTTATCTTGGAACGTAAGCTAGCTACCTTAGCAAGTGCAGTCCTAACAAAATGACCAAAAGCCATCACTTAACATGATACGTTTTGGTACAGCTACGTTGATGCTAATGTGCGGTGGCACAGAAGTTATTCAGACCTTAAGTTATCCACATAAATGACCGAATTTGCAGCTTTTAAGTGTATTTCAGCTGTCGTTATGCGAGATATTTGTGAGACCGAACTTTTACCGATACATTTAAAGTTAGCTGCACTGCGAGCAGCTGCTACGGCGAGCCTGGGAGCTGGTTAGTACTAGCCAGCTCCATCGGCAAGCTTGACAACT